ATATGTAAATAACATTTAAATGTATTTGTAGTATACGTAGCATGAAATAAATGTATTTCAAATACATTTTTGTATATTTATTTTTCCCTAGGGAAGGCATCTGTAAAGACTTTTCAATCGCCCATTTGGGCAAATAGATAAGTGGCTGGGATGACTATTTTAGTAAAATTAATCACATTCAATGAACTAATTTGATATAAGGACTTTTTTTTAATTAAAAAAAAAATTATTATTTTTTTTCTGAATAAATGTTAAAATAGTGTTCAATAAGTATTCTGTCCATGTGTGTACAACATTTTTATTATAAACGATTGAAATCAGTACACAAAGTCAGATCAAACTATGGTACATTTTTGTTTTGGCCCTCCTGTAAATTTGGTGAAATGTCACCTATGCCCTTCTGGTTCTCACCCCTCCTTATAATGCATCACATAAGCGGCAGGGAGAATTCTGCCAGAAACAGTATATACCGAGTGCTGTGTGTGGTTACTGTCTGCTTCTTCTTTTTTTTAAATATAAATAGAAGAGTTTCTAGGCTAAATAAATGATCAAATCACAGGTCAGCTGCCTGAGCTGAGCTCTGTGTGTTTGTGGGGTTTATCTGTGGCAGCATCTCTGAGGAAGTGACAGTGGTGACATATTCTCTGTGATGAACTAATGTGCAAACACACACAAAATACAAACTCAGTGGTTGATCGGCAGAAGTGTTGAAGAAGCGGTTTAGGTGTGAAACCGCACCACGCTCGCGCACGTTAACCGTGTTACCATGACGACGCCACAACGAACTTCACCATTACAGTTCAAAACAATGCGTTCTGCCTAGCTTCCCTGTTATCCATATAAATAACTGATTTAAAATATTGAAACAAAAGGACATTAATTAGTTTCATAGTACAAAACTTAATGTTGTTAACTCACGTGAAAAGGCCGTTCAGATTTGGAAGATTATTTCAACATAAACTGCAGGCACGTTGAATTTATAGAGCAGCACCATCTAGTGGCAGAGAAGCGGAAACAGCACAGCAAGTCTGATTGAAAAAAAGCAAATCGCCTCATTAGAAGTACTAAGAGTACACTGGCATCGGCTACTTAAGATTAGGGTCGACTATATCTTGAAGGTATAATTTAACCCCCCAAAAAAGCTGAAAAAATCCAGTTGTTTTCTCGGTTCAGTTTTTCAAAATGGCAGTTTAAATGATCCTAAGTTGTCCTATTAAATATTAAATGGCTTGTAAGCAATAATGCATTTCAAAAACAGTCATGTTGTGAAAGATATTATTTAGATAATTTTTTATCAATGAACAATAAACACTGAATTTATTATGAACCAAGATTTTTGACGTGCCATTAAGTAAAATTAGAAAACAAATAAAGATAAATTTATATACAGTTAGGTCCATATATTTTGGACACTGACACAATTTTCATAATTTTGGCTCTGTATGCCACCAGAATAGAATTAAAATGAATTTTTTTTTAATTGTTCCAAATTGAAGTGCATATTTTAAGCTTTAATTCAAGGGGTTGAACAAAAATATAACATAAAATGCTTAGGAATTACAACCATTTTATACATAGCCCCACATTTTCCAGGGGATCAAATGTAATTGGACAAATAAATATAATCATAAATACAATGTTAATTTTTAATATTTTGTTGAGAATCCTTTGTAGGCGATGACTGCCTTAAGTCTGGAACTCATGGACATCACCAGAGTCTGGGTTTCCTGCTTTGTGATGCTTTGCCAGGCCTTTACTGCAGCTGACTTAAGTTGTTGTTTGTTTGTGGGTCTTTCGGCCTTTAGTTTTGTCTTCAGCAAGTGAAATGCAAGCTCAATCGGGTTGAGATCAAGCGATCGACTTGCGCATTGCAGAATAATCCACTTTTTTACCTTCAAAAACTTTTGGGTTGCTTTTGCTGCATGTTTTGGGTAATTGTCCATTTGTACTATGAAGCGCCGTCCAGTCAACTTTGCTACATTTGACTGAATCTGGGCAGAGAGTATGTCCCTGTACACTTCAGAATTCTTCCGGCTGCTTCTGTCCTCTGTCACGTCATCACTAAACACCAGTAACCCAGTGCCACTGGAAGCAATGCACGCTTATGCCATCACACTGCTCCACCATGATTCACAGATGATGTTGTATGCTTTGGATCATGAGCTGTTCCAAGCCTTCTCCATACTTTTTTCTTCCTGTCATTCTGGTACAGGTTGATCTTAATTTCAGCCGTCCAAAGAATGCTTTTCCAGAAGTGGTCTGGCTTTTTTAGAAGGTTTTTTTGGCAAAGTCTAATCTGGCCTTGTTTGCACCTTGTGGTGAACCCTCTCTGTATTTGCTCTCGTGAAGTCTACTCTTGACTTCTCTAGACATTGACAGTGACATACCTACCTTCTGGAGAGTGTTCTTCACTTTGCTGGATGTTGTGAAAGGGTTTTTCTTTACCAGGGAGAGGATCCTCCGATCATCACCACTGTTGTCCTCCGTAGACGTCCAGGCCTTTTTATGTTGCTGAGCTCACCAGTGCTTTCTTTTTTTCTCAGAATGTACCAAACTGTTGATTTGGCCACTCCTAATGTTCCTGCTATCTCTCTGATGGATCTGTTTTGTTTTTAAAGCCTAACAATTGTCTGTTTCACTTGTGTACATATTAAAGAGCTGCAATTCCTTAACCTTTCCTCCAATTTTGATGAGAATACCCTCAAATTAAACTCAGAGTGTGCACTTTAAGTCCATATTCATTATATAACTGTAACTTGAATATGTTTTGGTCAACAGCTAAAATAATACAAATTGTGCCTGTGTCCAAATATATATGGACCTAACTGTTTACACACACACACACACACACACACACACACAAATAACAGTTTCTCTATAAAAAGACAGTTATTTCAAACAAAATATTTATAAAAACTTTATTAACTTTGCTCTTTGGAATGTTGTTGTTGTTGAGAAATTCATAAATCTGATTGGTCAAATTTGCTGTTGCAAACAGGTGATTGGTTGAATTAGTTGATGCAGATGAGACATAAGTCTTCAGTCTTTTTTTTTCTTCTGTTCATCACAGAACTGTGAATACAAAACAGTCACCAGACAGATTGGACTTTATAACATCAAGTGAAACTGAGTTTTTTTGTGAGAGTCTGAGATGAAAATCCAGTCGAGTGTTAATTCAGTTCCTCAGGACACAAAAACAACTATTACAATTAAGAAAAATACCATTTCATTTTAAATAGCATTAAAAAAGTGAGCTGTTACACTGACAGTTGGATTTCGCTTAAAATTTAAAATAGTTAACACTTTTATTACTATCTAAATCTTTCATTAAATATAATTCTCAGTGCAAAATGACATACGTTGGTTCATTTGAGTGGGAGAAAAGTTTCTGGCGTCTCCTTCAAGCTGCTGAAAAGAAACAGACCCAGATGCCTTTGTCAGCACTTGTTGTCTTGTCTCTCTTAGGTTGTCCTCTCAATGCTTAAGAGCACGGATCAGTTTGTGCCTTTCACATCCTTCAAATACAATGAATTTCCTTGGGGAGATGCTTCCACATTAGCGCTCTTAGATGCTTCATTTGCTTTGTCTCCGCTTCGATTCCCAGACGTTCCCAGAGTGAGCGTCTCCTGATCAGGAGGGGTCCAGCCTAGAAGACACTATTTTCACAGATGGTCTGCAGACATTGTGATGTCATTCTGAAATACGATGTCACTCGATACCATGGCAACACACCTTTACTGACAGCTGAAAAAAATTCCACATTACTATTCCATCGTTTAAAAAAGCACTGTCTCAAAGAATGTCATCTGAACGGTTGTTTTACAATATATAGAGTCAGGATGGACCAAATAAAGTTGTAGAATCTCTTTTTAGCTACTTAACATTGAGAAAGATGTCATGCGTACGTCCTATTGATATATATGAGATGTATTATGTATTTAAACATTGACCCTTTGACCTGTATTGAACCGTATCATGACCCTGAATTAGGACTGTAATTTTTTAGTTTAGATGTAATTATACTAAAATATTTGATTGCAGAATTCCAAGTGCATTTAAAATAAAATAAAATCCTGATTCATGAGAATTTTTGTCTTGTTACCAGCAAAATATCTAAACATTCTTAAAACAAGATACATTTAAAGGGGTCATAGGATGCCCATTTTCCACAAGTTGATATGATTCTTTAGAGTCTTAATGAAAAGTCTAAGATAGTTTGGTTAAAAATTCTCATTGGTAGTGTAAAAACACAATTTTTACCCTGTCAAAAACAGCTCTTTTCAGAGCACGCAGTTTTATAGCATTTTCCTTTAAATGTCAATGAGCTCTGCTGACCCCGCCCCTCTCTTCCGAGCTGTTCTCTTGAGAGACTGCTTACTTTAGCCATATTCATCGTGAAACTTGCTAATTAGCACATTGTTAGGAAAGGCGATTTGCAAAGATTCATTAAAAAAACCTTACACTCACTTCTTCTGTAGGTGAAGCTGGATCACGAATGATTCGCGCAAACATAGACGCATTTATGTAGATCGGGGTTGCATTCCCTACAAAAATAAACATAATCCACTGCGTCTTCAGCGGCTCAGATGTCGGGAGTAAATGACGACTGCTATGTTCATTATTACATCCAACAACAAAACACCTCAATCGCTTAGGAGTCATTCTTGTCTACATCTGCTCCGGCACTCAGGACGGGTCTAAGGTAAGACACCAGTCCAGTCTGTGCTGAAACGCTACTGTCAATCAAACTATCGTGGGAGGGGCCTATTTTTGTGACATCACACAGACAGGCGTCTGAGATCGGCTCGATTTGAGAAAGGGATAAATAATTTAGTAGATTAACAAAAAACCACTGGGTGGATTTTTATCATTATAGGGTGGTTGTTTACACACACTGCCAACACACAATTCAGTACAACTTGTAAAAGTGCATGTAGCATCATATGACCCCTTTAACTGAGAAGCAAAATATAAAAATATTAAAACTTGTTTTAAGTATTAAATTAAATACTTTTCTTATGCCATTAGCAATTTTTTCTTGTTTTAAATATATAAGAGTAAAACCAATTTTAGTGATGGTTAAGTTAAAAACAAGAAAAACTGTAATATCTTACACAATTTTGCTTGTCAAGTATCTTAACATTTTTACTTGAAAATAAGACAAAAATACTAATAAAATTTCTGCAGTGCAGAGAGCTGTGTAATAAATCAATAAATCATGAAATCGGGTCATATTATAATGCTTCCCTAACAAAATGTCTTCTGACCTGTTGTTTTACAATATATATATTGAGTGAAGATGGACCAAATAATCTAACTACTTAACATTGAGATAGACATCATGCGCATGTCCTGTTGAGATATATTAAGATGTATTATTATGTATTGACCTCTGACCTGTATTGGCCTGTATTTGTGCTCAAGAACAAATGACTGTCTAAGGAGGAACCCATGTGTAAAAAGGCAACAAAAACACATTTAAAGGCACCACTGGAATGAAGTGTGAGTTACCAACTGAACAAACACATCTCCAAGCATAAACGAGCACAATAACACTGAAAACCCAATTCTGTACAGCTCTGAAAAAGGGGCTTGTCGAAAAAACTATCCAACTGTGTGAGAGGATACATCGTTTTGTCTTGGTCTCATCACCAGCAACAAATGTACAAACGAACAAACAAACAGTAGACAATCATCGTCTGGCTGTACAATCTATACACGGCGCCCTCTAGAGGCCAGTTTCTCTTTCTGCACGTCCTGAGAATAACGCTCAGTCTCGACATTGAGAAACGTTGCAACAACGTTCTAAGAACGTTCCTCCAATATTGTCCAGCAAGTGCTTCCTGGGTTCGTCCAGCATTCCTCATGCCTCTGTGTAAGATTTCTGTGCACTGAGTTTTTCTTTTTTTAGTTTGACGCCATCCACCAGTTCAAAGTTGTAGTTCTCCAGAGCGGAGAGGTTCCTGTTTGTAGTGTGAGCGCATGCGCAGTAGAACAGCACCCCGCACACGGCACCCAGCAGGACTCCCACGGCGCTCATCACGATGATGGTGATCAGGATGGGGTCTAAACTCTTCAGCATGGAGCCGCGTCCAAAACTCCACAGGGTGTTGTCCGTCCCCTCACAGTTCACTATTGAGAGGGAAAGACAGACAGAAACAGAGAGATTGTGAGACCTGCATAAGCAAGCTCAATTATATTATATAAGAGATCAAATGGGGGAAGTCGTGGCCTAATGGTTAGAGAGTCGGACTCGTAACCCAAAGGTTGCGAGTTCGAGTCTCCGGTCCGGCAGGAATTGTAGGTGGGGGGAGTGAATAACCAGCGCTCTCTTCCACCTTCAATACCACGACTGAGGTGCCCTTGAGCAAGGCACCGAACCCCCAACTGCTCCCCGGGTGCCGCAGCATAAATGGCTGCCCACTGCTCCAGGTGTGTGTTCACGGTGTGTGTGTGTGTTCACTGCTGTGTGTGTGCGCACTTAGGATGGGTTAAATGCAGAGCACTAATTCCTAGTATGGGTAACCATACTTGGCCACATGTCACTTCACACAAAATACAGTCATATACTGGACATTATAGCAAAATAACCCTTTAAAAATATCTAATCATCCTTAAACCATGACACATTTAATTGAGAAGAAAAATATAAAATACATATTGAATTAAGTATTAAATGAAATATTTTTCCTAAATGCCATTAGCAATTTTTTTCTTGTTTAAAATATATATGAGTAAAACAAATTTTACGGTTATGCTTAAAACAAGAAAACCTTTGCCATTAGGTTTAATATCTCATACAATTTTGCTTATCAAGTAAATAATAAATTATTTTTTAAAGTTGCAAATAAAGCAGATTATTGGAGTTTGTTGTACAAGGAAATACTATTTCAGTTTAAAAGGAAAAAAATAATGTTTAATTGTGTAACTTGCCACTTCTTTGTAATTGTTTGTGAAATTTACTTCTTTGTAATTGAGTAAAAATTAGAGTAACATTTTCTACACCAATTTTTTTAAGTGTATTTTAAAATATTTGCACTTAAAAATAAGACAAAAATACAAATGACAATTTACAGAGCTGTGCAATAAAGCATTAAATTAGGTCTTATTATAATGTTTTCCCAATAAAATGTGGGTCTTACCGATCTCATCAACTTCATCTTCATCACCTTCTGTATTATCTGGGTCTGAAATGCAAACGCACACTAATCAAGGAGATGAACTCCTTTCAAATTACATTCATATTCCTTGTAGAGATATTTTTAACATATAAATGTTAAAAAGGTGTGATTTATCTCAGAGCTGATTGGTTTGGTTCAAGAGTGAGAATGCTATTATAGAAAAAGCCTATGGAAAAAAATGAATACATCTGGAATTAAAGTGATAGTTCACCCAAAAATGATAATTATTGTATCATTTATTCTCCTCATGTCATTCCAAACCTGTATGACTTTCTTCCTTTTGCGGAACGTAAAAGAAGATATTTTTGAAGAATGTCAGGAACCAAACAGCTTTGGTTCCTATTGAGTTTCAGTAAACTCGGTTTGATTACCAACATCCTTCAAAATATCTTATTTTATGTTCCGCAGAAGAAAGAAATGCATACAGGTTTGGAACAGTATGAATTTTTATTTTTGGATAGACTATCCCTTTAAGATGGGTGGTTACTGTTGTGGTCAATTATCGTGGCTGGATTATTACTATCATTCGATTTTTAATATAAGGGATGCAGATGTTTGATGATGCATATTAATGAAGGTTTTTGGCTGGTGAGAGAATCTGCTAATAAACAAACAGAAAGAAAGAAGGAGGGGCTAAAATAAAGGGGCGTGGTCAAACATACCCTTGCACTCTTCAGGATCCACTTCATCCAGTATCTTTATATCATCCAGTGAGATGTAACCAGACTCTGTAGGATCCACTTGAGCCTCGAGGATCACCTATCATGCACATACAGAAAAAGAGTTAGTATCATGTTGGAATCAGGATGTTCGGCTCATAAAGTGGCCATCAGTACCTGATAAGGAGTGTCCGCACTGGGAATCAGAACTCTTCCTTCCCTCCATCTGCTTTTCATCTGGCCATTCACAGAGCGGATCAGAAGCTCATTGTCCTCTCTCTCCTCCTCCGCCACCTCTAATCGCTCTATCTTCTGCTTGATGTTCAGAGTTCCCGTGTGTTTCTCAGTGAAGTGGTACCAGAAAGACATGCACAGGTCTGAGTCCGGGGCTGTGACCGGCAAACTGGCCAGTCTCGCCACCCTTCCTTTTCTCGCCAGTTCTTCATCTGTCTCCGTTTCTGTCTTTCTCTCAATCTCTATCCTCGCGTTTGTGTTAGAAGCTGCGTAAATGAAGTTGTGAGGCATCCCTGAAACAGAAGGGAGGAGCTTTAGCATCACTTCAGCATTTTATCTCAATATGCTGCCCTATACTTTAAAATCAAATTAGTTTTGAGATAAACAAGTGCATTTAGGAATTTATAAATCTAAATCTAAGAGTCTAAGAAAAATCTAAGAGTCAATTATTCTTACCTGTGTGGTCCAGATTAGGCAGTTTGTGATCAGTGTGTTTGCTGTTGTTATTTATATGCCATTCAGCTCCTTCACCTCCATCTTGACTCCATCCACAGTAGGAGGGGTTATCAGCCCAGCCAAAGTCACAGGCAAACCAGATATATGCTAAACAGGAGCACAAACAAAGCTAAATCAACTTTACAGTTCTTCGCACCGAATTTACTTTCCATTCAAACCAACTAAAGATGTTCAAGTAAGCTACAGTTAATGCAGTATGCTATTGAACACCCTCTATCCTTTTTGGACTGCTGGTAGCTTATTAGTCAAAGCTCTTGGCAGGTATTCAAAAGGTTGAAGGTTCAAACCACAAAGGGGAGTGAAGTGCATTAAGCAAGCCTGTATCTGCCAACAGATACTGCAGCGAAATCTGCTAAATCACCAATAACCAGTGGCCAATTGCACAGCACTGTATCTAGATATCACATTCTCCAATGACTCCAGTAAATCTCATGATCTAGGTAGTTTTTAGGAGCTTTTCACATCCAATGTGTTTCTGTGTTGTTGTTTCATAAACATCTAAGCATCCTTAAAACAAGACACATTTAAAAGAGAAGCAAAATTCAGAGATTTCAGAAAATATATCTTCAATTAAGTATTGAATTCAATATTTTTCTCATGCCATTAGCAATTTTTTTTTGTTCTAAGTATAAATCTGTAAAACAAAATCTATTGTTATAAGTTAATGCTTAAAACAAGAAAAACAAGTAAACCGCATGAGGCGGTTTTTAGAAACCATAAACTTTTCGCAACCGATGTGTTTCTGTGCTGTTGATGTTTTAAGTGTTTTATTGTGAAGGAATTTTCTTGCTATGCATGCATTTATGCTGTTTTGTTATTATTTAGACATCATGAAGGTGACAGTCAGAAGTATCAGACTCTGCAATGTTTGAATTTTTGCATAAGGCTTTTACAAAGTTAAACAGCTGGAGATTATAGCATGTAATTATGCAGCACAACACTTGGTGGCAGTAGAGATTTTCTTTGCTCTCGAAATGGAAAACCCCAAAGAGAGACTGAGGATTTTGTTCCTCATTTCTGTCAGGCTAATCAAGTACATGTATGCTTCCCGTAATGTGATTCTGTAGGAATTACATTCAGCCACTAAAGAGAGTACCCATTGAGGGTGGACCACTTTTTTTTTTAAGACAACAGCAACACTCCAAATTGTTATTGCCACTACAGATAATTGTCTATTTTGTGTGTGTGTGTGTAGTTTCTCACCAGGTACTGCTTCCATCTCCATAAATGGCTCTGCCACTGCAGTTTCTAAGGAAAACAAAATGCAGAAAGTGCTATAGAGTTAATGAAATACAGACTAGTTAAATTTCATTCGCATGTTCTGTATGTTTATATTTGGTTCATGTTGAGTCACTTTGTGTCATTCACTAAACGTAGGAACAACTGAAACCACACGCAAAAATAACATACTCTGGGTGGCCTTATAATCATGTTAAGATGAAATCTTATACACAGACATTTCATCTTAAATACATTTAATCATATACAGTGAAAGAGTAAGAAAAGATGCATTACAGCTCAAACTGTGAGGTTTATTGACACATCTGGCTAATGAGAGCTCTGTAATGTGGATTTGTTTTAAAGAGGTTTCATACGTTTGCGCAGGTTTTGAGGATGGTTTTGCTTGAGGATATTTGCTGCGTTTCTCAGAGGTGAGAAAGTGTTTTAAGGAGCATGTCATATGTTTGCAGAGAGCGACAAAAGGCTGGAAAAGAAAGGTTATGCAGAAAGCCCTTATATGGAGATGATTTAGGTGTGATTATGCAAATGACTAACCTTGGACACACATCTGCTCATTTAGAATACTCCAAAATTCATTAAAATTAGAATGAGGTTAAGAACAAATCATGTGCCTACACACGTGATTTTAATTAGCTGGACATTTTTAGTGAGAAGTGCATATGTGCGTATAAATACAAAATATTCCACACAATTATTAGTGAATGAGACCCATTGTCTTCATTCTGCAGTGTGTTGAAATGATAAACGTGTATTTGTGTGTTTGTGTAATCTGATAGGTCACAGTTTAAGACGTTGTTTGTGTGTAACCTATGGGTCGTAGCATGCTGCTGTTTTGCTAAGCGTATGTAACCTGCTGGGTCATAGTTGGTCTGTGCTTCACTGTGTGGGTGTTTGTATTTGTAACCTTTTGGGTCATAGTCTGTCTCTGTGTGGATGTTTGTGTATGTGAGGTTTTGCTTTCTTTGTGGGGACTTAAATGTCCCACAGAGATAGTAAAACCTGAAATTACCAACATTATTGGGACCTCCCAACAGTCCCTATTATGAAAACAGCATAATAAAGTGAGTAAATAATGTCTTAATTAAAATCTAAAAATACCATAAGGTTTCTCTAAGGAGATGAGGTAGTGTTATGGTTTAATCAACATAATTAGCTCATAGATGTCAATGATGTGAATGCATGTGTGTGTGTCTAACCTGTTGTGTCATAGTCTGTCACTGCTTCGCTGCGGCAGTTACCCTCATCATCACAATTCTCCACTGTTGTTGGAATAATGGTGGTTGTTGGAATATTCCCTGGAGCGCTGGTGACGGTAGCTACTGTAGTTTCCATGGTGGTGGTGAGGGGAAGAGGCGTTGTGGGCTCTGAAAAGAGATCAAGGATGTTTAGACAGGCAAGTTATTTAAAGTAAAGGAAGCTTTCACAAATTATACACCATTTCAACAATCTTGTTAATTTGGTATAGGACGAGATTCCTCTAAGGTCTGTGATTGGTTGCTTTGGTTGTCACTCACCTTGCAGGTCACATCCTAAAACCTCCAGCCTTAACCCCATGCCTTCAGGAGAGCCACGCTCAGGGTAGATACGCAGCAAACGCATGAGCACTGGATCAAAAGTACATACTTCCGGTGTGTCATGGTTCTGATTACCCATAAACACCTGGATATGCGAAAAAATTAAATTTTCTTTAGAACATTTTGTGTCTGTCTGCTTAAACAGATGAAAAAAAACTGCATTTCATTCACACCAAGAACAATAACTATGAAGATAACTATAACGATAACTCTAACGTTTACTATTATTAGCATTCAAACAAATAGACGACAATGACGTTGACATTAAATACGCGATGCAGGCATGTTCTTCTGCTGCTTGAAATACTCTATCTCTTTAAAGTTATGTGCATTCTATGGAACCCTGTTTCCGGCCACTGAATAAAAAATAAAAAAAGGTAATTGTGACTTTTTATCTCACAATTCTGACTTTTTTCTCACAATTGCGAGTTTACATCTTGCAATTCTGAAATGTTTTCTCAGAATTGTGAGATTTAAACTCGCAATTGCGAGTTATAAAGTCAGAAAGTCAGAAATTATCTCGCAATTCACTTTTTTTCTCAGAATTGTGAGACAAACTCACAAAAAGAGTTTTTCTCGCAATTGTGGGTTTATGTCACGCAATACTGACTATCTAACACGCAACTGCAAGTTTATATCACACAATTCTGAGAAAAAAAGTCATAATTGTGAGATAAAAAGACACAATTACCTTTTTTTTTTTTTTTATTCAGTGGCGGAAACGGGCTTCCATAGAATGTTTTTATTGTTCATAAGCTGGACAATTTTATTGTTATAGCTGTCTGGATTTCCCTATTCTTGTAAAATTAGAACAATTACTAAAACTTTATAGAATAGCTATCATTATAGTTATTGTCCTTGGTGTCAACGACCCTTAACTATAACAATAACTATATAAATTACAGCGTTTTACTAATCATTCCAATTCCATGAGAATAGGGAAGTCCAGACCACAGCTATAATGTTAATGACACAGAAAAACTAACAACACTTTCTTTTTTTTTTCAGTTGATTAATGATGAAAACATGAACAGCCAATCAGAATCCACTTGACTTTGAAGAGCTTGAGCAATTAAAGTGGCGGACAACATATATACAGTGAGTGGTTGTAGCAAACAGAATGTTACCATCCGTTGGTGTGGGCGCTAATATAATTATAGTTATCATTATAGATATCATTCTTTGTGTGAACAGGCTTTTACACATGCAGTACCTTCACTTTGTTGCTGTTCTCCTCTAGTATGTGGCTCCAGTCCGTTCCATTTGTACTGTATGTAACTCTGAAGCGTCTGATGAAAATATTCACGTCTCTGTATTTCCCTCCTTGCAGGATGAGACCCGATACCATCCGCTGGGCCCCCAGATCCAGCTCCAGTGACTGGTTCTTTCCGACATTCTGCTGGTGAGCAACCACCCAGCCCGTTCGGCCGGTTAGGAGCCGGGCCTGCTCTGGGAGCCAGCCCCTCTCTGCCGACGGCCACACTGTGATCTGAGAGTCCGAAATCTGACCCGAAACCATCCCTAGCATACTGGAGCATGGAGCATCTGAGAGAAGGAGAGAGAATATGAGCTATTCTAATGAAAGGAGCACCAATATTCTGAACCACAGGAAAGAGACATAGAGGCTACTTCTACCTGTCAGAAATGGTGAGAATTTATTAAAATAAACACACACACATGCAGATGGGACCTCTTGATGTCAGTATTAGGTGTCAGTGAATAGAGAGGGGAGTCATTCTCTAATGATCACACACGAAGTGAGCGAATCTGGGGGAATTGAAAGTGACTCAGTGCTGCAAACCACAGCAACACCTGCTGGGATTTCTTAGTGATGTCAAGGCTGAATCTCACTACAAAAAACCTCTGCTATGAGTGTGTGTGTGTGTGTGTGTGTGTGGGATGAGATACCTGATATTTTACATCCGTACACCTCGAAACGCATGCAGATGCCTTGTTCCCAGGACAGAGGTCGAATACGTAGGTAACGGGTCAGGGTAGGTTTGGACAGCCTAGCACGTACCTCATCTGTGGGATTTTGGTTTCCATGAAACACCTGAGAAAAAGAGAAATGACACATGTATCATATTCCTCCCCCTTTTCCACTGTTTTTCCTTACCAGTGTTCAACTTTAAAATTGTTTTATTGGCATGACTGTTTTACACACATTGTTGTCAAATAATCTACACAAATAACAAAAAGATAAATGTAAAAAATGTAAGTAATACTAATAAGAGTGTTAACAATTATAATTTTTTTTTTTAATTATATATATATATATATATATATGCAACTATATAAACTATATATGTGACCCTGGACCACAAAACCAGTCATAAGGGTCAATTTTTCGAAATGGAGATTTATACATCATCTGAAAGCTGAATAAATAAGCTTTCCATTGATGTA